TGATAATGTTGCGGACCCTAAGTGTGTACTATATTACAGCACAAAGTTTTTGGAAACGAATTTATGAAATTAACGACATCATTTACTTAGAAAAAAATATTTAGTCCGACAACATATAGAATATAGACCGCAATATTCGACTTGAATTGACATATCTTTGATTGTTAACGTAATAAAACTATTAGTCGACATTGCAATGCTTTCTGATCCTGTAATTATAGTATTACAAGTGATGCACACATCTCTATGCAGCCACCACCTCGCTAAATCACACTGCCTGCATCTAGCAGCTCTTACGGTCCGCCTGGCTTCACCCCGCAACACGTACCGCAATGCAATTCCAAAATTACCTTTCCCAAATATTTAGTTAAGCCATGGAATATGTAATATTAATAGAAATAATGAAATAGAGTTCAATATAAGTATATATGTACCCTCTTCTAAAGAGTTAGTCATTTAATGATAGAATTTAACTTTTTAACTTCTTGATTGAAACTGAACAATTTGCCCAAAAAATTAAGACTACAATTGAGAACAAAATTGAACCTTAGAAATATTATAATAGAGATATTATTGCGGTGCATGCTCTGGGCCACAATCACAGGAGCCAAGCTTAACTAACATGACAGGTGCTCAGTAGCGGATGTGTTTTGTCACAAGTTGAAAAAAGTAGTGTCGGTTAACTCCCCGGGGAGCCAAGCGCCGTGAGAGAACCCCAACATTTACAAATCTATTTTAATATATTTAAAATATCTGATCAAACCACAGATTAGAACATAAATATATATTGCACTGTACATAACACACGCTTATTAATAAAATTCATTAACTTCCAAATTACAAAGTTTTGGAAATAGATTTTCATTTATATACGTACAAATTAAATTTCCTTTAGTTGGTAAAAACAATCCATTATTTTTTTTCTATTAAACTAAACTTCTTAAAGAACAAACTAATTCAACGAAAATTGCAAATGTATTAACAGAAAGTTTGATGATTTCATTTAAGACAATACACAGCAAAATTATCTTGAAGAAACTAAAGCAATAGGAACTCCCACGGCTGCAGTCGACGAGGTTCGGCAGCAGTAACATTATATGAACAGGAATTAGTAGTCCCGCCCCAAACAGTTACTATTGAGTTCGGACGCTGTCTGACTGTAAAATCTATCAGATAAGGTACTCCAATACATACAGAAATAGCTGCTAGAGTTAAGATAGAAGTAATTTGGAGTCAAACAATGTCCGGTACATATATAAGTCTTATAGAAAACGAGCGTAGAATACTATTGTACGACTACGCGGTTTCACCGCAAGCTTAAGCTGTAGATATCCTAACGTTATTGAATATATTGAAATGTGTTTTTAATGTACTTTTAGTGTATAAATTAGCGCTGTGGAAAATAATTTTAAAAGCGTAGTAATCATCAATAGTCCCATACAACAATAAGAGTAACCAGCACGTCTGCACCAATATATATTTCGAGAAAGCTTGTGTTATTTACTTGCGTACGTCCTGCGCAGAAACAGATGGCGTGATATAAGTTCGTTGAATTGAAAAAGAGTGTTGATAAACATTTTTTAAAGAATTGGAATTGAGAATTTGTTTCCAATGACGCTGTAGAGACAGAACATGAAACATATATACGAAATAACATTTGACCACTTGCACCAAATACAAATATTTCAATTCCAATTCATAATTATAGTGACAACATTTATAAATAAAGCGATTTTAATATTAGAAAAGACAATTTGCACAGTATCGGAAAACGTCAAAATACAACAGAGAAAGAAATCGTCAATAAGATTAGAGATATCTACAGTCGGCAGTACTTATACAAGCCACATTTATTGTAATTAAACATAACTAGATCCTTCTCACCAATTTGACAAACTTTAATCTGGGCATGCATATTGTGCTCATGTCGATAACAATTCGTGAACCCTGCTACGTCGGAACATCGATGCCACCAACTATTGTTAAGCTGTGAAGGGTCACTTCCAGAACGTTACGTGCCATGATATTGTAGCTTTAGAAGCTGAGGTCTTTAAATGTACTCTCACAGGTCATTCCGTTAAGTTTTTGTTAGTATCTCAAAGGCTGAATGTAGTAACATAGCCAGTATCAGTGGGCTGGATAGATGTTTAAAATTGCGACTAAAATTCAGCCTTGTAGATAATGTTAATCTAATGCTACGATGGATTACAAACTTAGTTTAAAATGGTACTTGTGGAGAGATTTCGAGAAAAAATTAAAAGAGGTCTAAGATTAGAACAGTTGCGTATAATAGTGGCAGTGTAGCTACAACATTCAAGGCACGCCAGATTGTACACTCAGACTTGATAAGGCATCGTTTAAAGTCAACAATTGTTACAATTTGATGATAGACAATAAACGATTCCTTCAAAATCTTGATCGGATATTAAAACTAATAAAACAGCGATAAATCAGCGCAAATGTAACAATTCAACCTCGAGACAACGACGGGAAGAGTGAACTAAGCGAACAAACGCACCAAAAACCTAAAGCTGTAACTAGGACCAAACCACATAACAAGGGACCCTGTAGTGAGCCATCTGAACCATTTCCCTTTTTATTTAACTAAGCATTGCAACATTTTATCATTCATAACAAATGGTCCGATAGAGCTCACAGCAGAGAGAATCGACTACGGACCTCGACAAAGGTTACTATCAGATACAAGTCGAAAAGCCAGAGGTCCAGCCATGTCACAAATTAGTTACAAAATCTTGTTTAGATATTAATTTAGCGTTATATGGACTAGAGTGCGCCGAACAATCACTAACGAGTCGGGACAAGCTATAGCGGGTTACATCACTCGTTCGGTACTTGTATACCTAGACGATAGTGCTCAGACAGTCTCAGTGGGCATGCACGCCGATACACCAAATGACCAGACGCGACGCGCTCCCGTACGGATTTTTCATGCCATTTACCATATATTTACATGCTTTAGTGTTTAAAGCGTAAGGTTACTAGTCACGTCATTTGTTACAAAATAGGCGTCTTCAGATTTATCAACAAAAAAAAATTAATTAGAAAACAAAAATTTGAATACAGATTATGAAAAGAAAAAACCAGTAAATCTTATACTGTGTTTTATATTAACATACTTCAAAATATAGTTCGTATAGACCGTATTACTTCAACCAAAGCATGTCACAAACATGACGATGATTATTTTACTTTATTTGTAAAAATAGAGATTGCGTCAGTTTTCTATTTACTGAGTTTTGTACATGACGATAAAATAAAAAGATCAGACAAATATGAAGACGTTGGATTAGCATGAAGAACCGCGAGAGCGTCGAAAGTCGTGAGAGGAGTCGAGGAGCGGTGGAGCGGAGGAGGTGAGGAGTGGAGGAGGCGGGGAGGGGGGCGGTACCTGGTAGCGCAGGTGCGGCAGCGCGGGGAGCAGCGCGGCGCCCCACACGTCGGCCGCCGGCGCGGCCGCCGCCGCTGCACACCCCGCCGCGGGCGACCACTGCCCCACACGATATAGCGCACACGTCCTACATCATCTCATCCCAGACCCCTCACCCTCACGACACTACTAACTTCTTTATAGCAAAGACAGACCTCGAAGTTACTAGGCCCTCTATCTAATTTCTAGCCTCTTCTTAGATAAAAGACAGCCCTCGAAATTATCAGGGAAATGTCGAGAAGCCTCTTAGCAGATACTTCATTAATGTAAACGAGGCAGAGGCACATTTTTATTTTTCAAATATTCTAAACCATTTTTAAATTTAAACAAAAATATTTTCAAAGAGGGTTGAGATGAGATTATCTAGGATCTGAGTGAAGCGCGTCGACAAGAGAACAACACGAGAGTAGAAGTGGTCGCCCCGTCACTTAAAACTAGTCTTAAAACTAATTGTATTTCAATATAGACGACCTTAGTTGACAATAAGGATACACTTCACTCACTTAGTCTTCTAGTAACATATGCTATGCCCAGATTGACAATCGTAATGCCTAAGAATTTAAGAATATCCCACTTAGAAATAAATGATAATAAACTGCATAAACAAAATCGCAAATTTGGGCACAAAAATGTATCATATGAAATCATATGAATGATATTAGAGGAAAATGCAAATTACACGATGCATTTTCTTCTATAATGTAACTACAGAACGAATATAGAATGATGCTTTGGAATCTTTCTTTTCATTTACTTATTCATGTTTAAAAAAAGGGTATGTTGAAAGAAACAAAGTACCATTCTCATTCAATCTGTCGTATTAACTATCAGATACTAGTTGCTGATGTTGTAATGTATTCTCACTGTGTAATGTATATCTGTATAAGTTGTAAAATGTAAAATAACACTTCCTACCTACAGTGTGAGCACTTGAAAGAATACTTGAATAATAATACCTGCAAACATCTGATTCGAACAAGAACTAAACATTATAGAAAACTATGTTAATATGTTTTTTTTATGAAAGTGATATAATCTGACCTCTATTGCATTGTAATATGAACTAAAATGCGTTTATGTTTCATCATTTAAACATTAGGATACAAAAAAAAGCACCAGGGAAGTCAAATTTCAAACTTTACCCTAAAGTACATTTATACTTCTGGTCATGTCGTCCATATAAGTATGCAATATGAGACTAAACAAGTAAAACAGTGATTGCGTATAAATAGGACCCATATTTAATTTTATGATACCATAATATATCCAATTTTAAAGTAAGAAATTTATTACTTTAATTTATCTGAGAGAATCTGAGTATTTCCCATAAATTGGTACTTGACCGAAGTCGCCACTCAAATCTATATAGAAATAGAAATTTTCTGATTCATATATGATGATTCTGATAGTAATTAAATCATATTTGATAATTGATTGGGTTTTCTTTTATAATGTTCCAAATATTTAGACAATCTTTTTTTTTTAATTTTACCTTAAACTTTCAGTACTGTGAATATACGATGAAGATCTGTACGAGTGGACTTTCACATACCTGCGTTCTCTGCGGATGGTCGCGATGCGCGTGCGCGGGGTGAGGGTGGGGGTGGGGGTGAGGATGCGGATGGGGGTGGTGCGCGGGGTGCGGGTGGTGTGGCCACACTCCCGCGCCGCCCAGACCGCCTAGTCGAGCCCCGCGCAGAGACATCTGTCGAAAGTTAATATATACCATTGAAATACAAACGACTTCCTCAACAGTAAAAATAAACAATAATATGTTTAGTATAGGTATTCTCATTCAATTTATTATAACTGCATATTTTAATTTAGTTGGGTACTCTTGTTATAAGTAATATAAATAACTCTTATGACTGTAATAGACCTACATGAATAAAGATACTTTGAATTTTGAATTTGACTCTCTGGCATTATCACCTTCAAAATCGTACCCTCTCCGTTTCATAACACAAATAATATTTATAACTTTTTTAAATGAGACATATTATTTAAAGAAATCAATTCATAGGTCACACCATGGTTTCAATTTAGTTTTACACTTTAGTCTACTTAATATCAAACTAGTACATTTATCGTGAGCAAATATTGAATAACTGCAAATAGATCCCAAGTCATAATTGACTCCTGATCGAGCACTTTAGGTATGAGTAAGGTGGTGAGGCGAGGGCGGGGACTATGCCGTGTAACAGGAGTCGGTCTTTAACCGTTCCATAAGTCTTTCCACAATCTGGAGCTTCTGCTGCACCCACCTCCAACTTCACCCGGTGAAACTGTAGTGGATCTGCGACCAATTCCACAGGTTTGGGGCACCCGCTACTCCCACCTCCATCTTCATCCGGTGAAGCTGTATAGGATCTACAACTAATAGTACTAGCACTAGAATACTTGTAAATAGAATGACCTGGTTGATGTCTAGCAGGAGAGGCGTGTGGTGCGCGTGCGGCACGTGCGGCTCCAGTAGCCGCTCGTGCCACGTGCCGCCGCCGCCCGCACCGCCTCCGCCGCCCACGTACCGCATCCGCCGCCTGCGTCATACAACTCCTCACTATCTCATCCATCCTCACATATTTCCGCGTTTATAATATTAGTAACATTACAGCATTCCTCAATTCCATCACTAAGCATAAAACTCGTAACATCATCAGCCCAAATCCTTCCATCACCGAGAAACCTTCTAATTTCAATTATAGAAATTCCAGATTACAAACTCATCACATCTTGGGAGATCTACGATGTGTATATCTTCGACGGTTACCACTTACCATCAGCTTGTTTACCATACCACTTATATAGTGATTGAAGAATTTATAAATGATTAGCTGTCCTGGCAAACGCTGTGTTGCTATATAAATTAAAATCATTAAAAAATAGGAGTTCATGGTAGAAGGGTAAAAATTTAGGTTTGTATGTATTTTTCATTCCTAAATAATAATAAAATGAATATAAAATATGACGAAATATAATAAAAAAAAAATTGGGTGTGTCACCCTTAACACTTACGGGTATGAAAAATACTAGCCGATTCTCAAACCTAAGGAATATACATATAAAATTTCATAAAAATCGGTCAAGCCGTTTCGAAGGAGTATGGTAACTAACATTGTGACACGAGAATTTTATATATAAGATATATAATAATGTTTTTGAAGACAAAATCTTCAAAGCGCTGACAATGTTATCTGATTGAACAAAGATTGAGTGCGTAGCTGTTTCTATGTTGATTGTTGCATACCTAATCCTTGTTAATGTAGATCCACTTAAAACAACATTCATTAAAAGTTGTAAATTAATAAAATAAATATAGGCAGTTTGTATTAAAAGAAAATTTCTTAAGAATATAATGATGGACGATCTTTGTTAAAAGAGCAACACACAAGTTTCTCGCTTGTTCTTCTTGTGATGAGTCTGCATTCCGAATGAGTGGTAGAATAAAAATATGACTATTCAAAAGTGCTTGTAATGAGTTTATTTGAATAAAGATTAGGTGTACTGTTCTTGTTACGAACACTGATTAGACTATTTGCTTTTGCAATAGCATATGCTGGTGGTAACTCTATTCTACCAAATTTGAATTTAAATGAATCTGTATTATTGTAAACATGTACAACATTTATTTGAAAAGAATACGAGCTGAGTTTCTTGTCAATTCTTATCTCGAAATCATTCCGAACTGACGACACACAGACTCTTACAGACTCTTATGATATGTCAAATTTACATTTGACATATCATAAGAGTCTGTAATGGAATACATGAATAAAGATATTTTGAATTTGAATTTGATTATTTCTATATCTAAGAATCGAACTTACGGCTGCTGGTAGTGATGTCGCGGCGTGCGGCGCTCCACCGCCGGTGCCGCCACTGAGACATTACTTTCACCTGCAACATCACACAGTCCACTGTTACCGTTTACCGTCACACAGACAATTATAGCAACGGATAGGCAGGAGGAACCTGTCTGTAAGGTTTATTATTTAAAATTCCACATAGGCATATAACAAGCTCATTTGAAAAGAATATGAGCTGAGTTTCTTATCAGTTCTTCTCATCTTGATATCATTCCGAACTGACGGTAGATTTGATATATCATAAGAGTCTGTAATAGACCTGCATAAATAAAGACATTTTGATTTGATTTGATGAGAAGAAATAGTTGAAACGGCGATCGAAATAACCGAGGTCCAAGTTGAGGTCCCAACTCTCTTTTTTTTCGTGGGTCTCCCTCATGGAGACTCCAGGGTTGGACGGACGGGCACTGTGAGACTTCGACTCACCAAAAACCCTACGATATTCCTCCTCGCCGTCATAGTGCAGGGTCACGGGAACGAGTTTTCAATCAATCGCGACCCCAGGGGATACCCCTCAAGCAGGCCACAACATGGTGTTATTCTAGAAGGGTATTTTGAAAAACCCCATGCTGTATTCTGTCTCTAAAAGAAACCTCGTCAGGTACTTAATTTCGTAGAACGGGGCCTATCGGTGGGGAAAGGGGCCTGCAGACACATGCCTGGGACGACCCGAGTCAAGGTTCGAACTCCTAGCGGTGTCGAGTAGACTACAACATGGGGTTTTTCAAGAAGGGTTTTTTGAAAAACCCCATGCTGTATGCTGTCTCTAGAAAAAAACCTTGGCAGGAAGTGGATTTCGTTGAAAGGGGCCTATCGGTGGAGATGTGGGCTTTACCTGAAGACAAATGCCTGAAAATCCGAGTCGAGATTCTAACTCCTAGCAGTGCCCTCAGACTAAAGTCGTATCCGTCAAGTAGACTACAACATGGGGTTTTTCAAGAAGGGTATTTTGAAAAACCCCATGCTTTATTCTGTCCCTAGAAGAAACCTCGGCAGGTAGTTAATTTCGTTGAACGGTTCTATCAGATTGGATAGGGGCTTTACCTGAAGACAGGTGCCTGGAGATCCGCCTCCTCTTCCTGCTGGGACTGTCTCCCGCCTTGGAGGAGAGCTCCCCGTCGGAGGAGCCGGCCGCGCTCACCAGCGACTCCACGGGGCCCTCCAGCGGGTTCGTGTCCTGGGAATGCAGTCAGCACACGTTCTTGACTAGTCATATAGTTACCCACATACCGTGGCGCTGTCCGTGAGCAGCGCCACGTTCAAAACTAATTCTAAATGCTAGTTTATTTGTAAAATATTATTTGTGAGTTCCAATAAAGAAATATTATTATTTTTCTTATCTTTATCTTCTCACTCTCTCAGCTTTTGCTGAATTTTTTCCACACTTACGGGCCGAAACCAAGTAAGTGCAGTGTGCGCGTGTGAGTGTGTGTGTATGTGTGTGCATGAGTGCGTGTGTGTGTGTGCATGAGTGCGTGTGTGTGTGTGCATGTGTGCGTGTGTGCGTGTGCGTGTGCGTGTTTGTGTGTGTGCGAGTGTGCGAATTAAAAAATTACTTATAAATGAAAATATATTATTATTATTATTATTATTTAAAATTAAATCTTATTTATTTATTTATATATTCTTTAGTGTACAAAATAAATTGCAGGAAACAAAATTAACAGAGGTACAAAAGGCGCCCTAATCGCTTATAAAATAACTTCCAGACAGGTGGTACGTGTCCTTAGAATAGAACGGTAAACAAAATCATACTAATAAAAATAAACCTCACCCATTACATATATAATAAACAGAATATACTGTCTGTCTGTTTGTTCTTACTCTCTGAAACGGCTGCACCGATTTTAATGGGACTTTCACTCGCTGATAGCTAATGTTATATGAAGTATCTAAGACTACGTTTTTTTAGAAAAAAAATTAAGTTGCTATTTTAGTCTGTTTACTATTTTACTTAAGTAAGAATTTTGCTTAGTTTAGGATAAATCAGATCACAGCTTGTACTATGGGTGTCCATTTTCTATGGGCACCCATACAATTTTACACTTAAAACATTTAAACATATATAACTCAAAGATGACTGACTGACATAGTGATCTATCAACGCACAGCCCAAACCACTGGACGGATCGGGTTGACATTTGACATGCAGGTAGATGTTATGACGTAGGCATCCCCTAAGAAAGGATTTTGATTAATTCTACCCCCAAGGGGATAAAATAGGGGATGAAAGTTTGTATGAAACTTTGTCAATTATAAACTGATCGGGCTGAGACTTTGCATACATAAAGCTACTATGACGTAGCCATCCCCTAAGAAAGGATTTTGACAATTACATCCCTAAGGGGATATATTAACGCGAGCGAAGCCGCGGGCAAAAGCTAGTACAAAATAAAACTGAGGTAACAAAAACTATATTCCACCTGCTGGGATTGGAAACCATACTCACCATATGGTGGTGGTGCGGCGCGTGATTCATGTGCGGGGGCTCCGCCGACGGCCCGGCGCCCGCTCCGGGGCTCACGCGCATATCTGTAATTTAAAGAGAAGCAACCACATCAATATACATACAAAACAATACAGAGACACCGAAATAGAAATAGAAATAATCTTTATTCAAATAAACTCATTACAAGCACTTTTGAATAGTCATATTTTTTACTAGCTGTTCCTGTGACTTCGTCAGCGTGGAATTTAACTTTCATTTTCTAACATAAAAGTAGCCTAAGTTACTCATTATTACATCAGCTTTCTGCCAAAGAAAGTCCCGCCAAAATCGGTCCAAGCATTTCAAAATTTAGTCGGAGCAAACAGACCGACAGACACAAAAATTATAAAAAATGTTATTTTGGTGTATGTACCGTATTTATATTCATATGCATGTAGTAAAAAACGGTTATTTCAACATTACAAACAGACACTCCAATTTTATTAATATGTATAGATCTATACATGATGAGTACGTACGTACGTAGTAGACGTATCTCTTACAGGCAACCTTTAGGTAGACTGTGAAGGTATATGAAAACTGTAGGTGGTGTAAATGAAATCTGTAGGGTGTCAAAATATATAAATAAAATTATTATGTTTAATTAGTGGTCCACCTAAGTCCTGGAACCAGCTCAGAGGGGGGTCATGACCCCCATGACCCCTGGATCCGCCGTTGGGCGTAGTTACACAAACTTTTTTATCATCATTCAATTGGAGAGTGACAGATCGCAGCTGTCGACGTTTTGTCTAGCTCTCACACCGAGCGTGGAAAGTGAGTGTGAAAGTGACAGCTGACAGGAAACGGGACTGTCGCCGTACTGGCGCACACTGCTACAATAAGTGTATTTTCTTTTAATTCACGTTTTACAGCTCTGGATACAAGTCCTTCTGAACCCAACCATTCAAATTCAAATTCAAAATATCTTTATTCATGTAGGTCTATTACAGACTCTTATGATATATCAAATCCACCGTCAGTTCGTAATGATTTCGAGATGAGAAGAACTGACGAGAATCTCAGCTCGTATTCTTTTCATATAACATAGTATAAAACAATCGTTGTCGCTGTCTGTCCGTCCCATTGTATGAATTTGTTCTTACGGTAACTGTTTACCATAAGATGGGCCGTATGCTTGCCACCATCGTAGTATAAAAAATATATATACGACAGCGTACTAATCATTACATAGTATAAAACAAAGTCGCTGTCGCTGTCTGTCCCTATGTATGCTTAAATCTTTAATACTACGCAACGGATTATGAACCGGTTTTTTAAATAGATAGAGTGATTCAAGAGGAAGTTTTATATATAATAATACATGTACACCCGTGCGAAGCCGGGGCGAGTAGCTAGTATTGTATATGCGAAAATCTGTACATGTGTCTGTTGGTCTGTCTCGACGACACGGCCAACAACACTCGTCATAGCTAGCATTTATTACATCATCATCATCTGCTTCTTCCTTATCCCATTTATTTGTGGTCGTCGTAATATGTCTTTCTCTTCCATTCATCCCTGTTCGCAGTCATCGCGTTATTTACTTCCTTTCTTACCATATCATCTTTCACACAGTCCATCCATCTCTTTTTTGGCCTTCCTCTGCCCTTATAACCATCCACATTCATTTGTAACATCTTTCTTAAAATATTATCCTAGCATTTATTACAATAGAATAGAAAATCATTTATTCAAATAAACTTACATTGAAGCACTTTTGAATAGTCATTACATTTTTTTAATCTACCGCTCATTCGGAGAGCTGTCTCATCATAACAAGAACGAGCGAGAAGCTTGTGTGTTGCTCTTTTAAATAATTCTTGTAAAATTCAAGTTCAAAATCATTTATTCATGTAGGACATTTTAGCCGCTTATGTACGTCAAAGTTTTACATTATAATTTTATTTTTTCCCTACCGTCCAGTTCAGTATATAGATCCAATTGAGAAGAACAGGCAAGAAACTCAATTGAATTACTTTTTTTTAAAGCCAGTTTATTTACAATGTATATTTATATAGGTGTCTATGTCTAACATTAAATGAAAATCCAGTGCATGAACAACTATTGCCACGCACGCTCGTCATTCAAGTAATCGTTTAGTGAGTAATAGGCTTTGCTGAATAAATATAAGATGTTTTGAATTTATTTAAGGGTAATTCCAGTATATCGTTTGGTATTTTATTGTAAATTTTTATACCTATTCCCATAAAAGATCTACTGACTTTTTCTAATCTCTCGATTATAATTTTATCTCTCTCTATACTAATTGTACTTGTAACTTTACATTTCCAATTCGAAACGTGCGAACAAACCACCAACTAGCACCAATTTATTAACTTCAGATATTAAGTACACAATAGGATTACAACAGTCGTAGCAGAGCAGACCAGTCCCTACAAGCAGCACTCGTTCCCGAGTATGACGTACGGAGCCATCCATACGACTCGACCATATTTTAATCAATGATGATATAACCAGCATATCTGAGGGGAAAGGGGATTGTTAGTGATATGGACTGATGATCCTATTGCTAGCAATGTACCATGTCAGGTTGACCTCCACGCGGTTCCCCCTGGAAACCATCATGATAAGTTCTTGGTGAATTTATCACGATGGGCTAACTGGCCTGACCTCATGCTCATCTTATCCTCCACTGGTGCCCCGCCAGCGTAAACCGCTAGCGCAGGGTGCACCATTCCATTATCATCCATAAGAAAAAAAAACAGCATATCTCCTTTTTGAAGTCGGTTAAATAGTCTAAACTGGGTCGAAACGTTACATTATCAAATTGGTCCGCCGGTGGACTTTCCCCGCAAACTCATTACGCTCGCCGGTTGCGTAACGGCGCAAGAGAAGCCTCCTAGCGGCCGCGCGCGGCGTGCCGTACTCAACGAAAGCGAAACACTCGTTATGGGGCCTTTTTTTTTATTGGGCTATTGCCAGATGCTTTAGAACCTAGCATTCCTGCTGCTAAGATCTATTGTGCTTTCCTTATTTCTATTGCACTTCAAATCTACCGTCCGATCGGAGTACTTTGGGGGTCCATAAATTACGCGACATGTTTAAGGGAGGGAGGGGGTCGAGTCATATCTCATCTAATCTCAAGTTTGAGAGAGCGGGGGTCACGGCAAATATCACGCAATTTTTTTTCTGACCGAAACAATAATAATAATAAACATAAACATAAACAACAATAATAAACATAATAATAATAAACATTCCTGAGACATTAAAGACGAATAAGAAAATATTATTTAAGAAGACATTACGAGAATGGTTAAAAAATAAATAATTTTACAGTTTAAACAATTTTTTTGACAATGTATAAATACCGACTAGAGAGATCCTATTTAACTATTATTATAATTATTATTTCTTTCTGTATAGTTAATTATGTATAATTTTAAACAATACTATTTTGCATGCCACTACTATGGCAAAACACATGATACTAAGTTTTAATTACCATCTTTTATACTGTGTTTTTTAAGCAAATAAATTATTATTATTATTATTATAAAAATTATACTATTTTGGTCCATTTAGTCCAGATTGTACATGCTTATTACACTTAACTCTCAGCAATATTGATTTAGTCTTAACTAGTCGTAAATAAAAGCACGAGGCATTTCTTTTCTTTTTACAATAACAGTCCAACGCGTTTACGTAAGATACCCACATTTTGAAAAATGTCACATGAGATTGTGGGATGGGGGAGGGGGTTGTATAAAATCTCACGACATCTCACCTGGGGGGGAGGGACAGAAAATTAAAAAAAAAACACCTCACGTAATTTATGGACGTTACCCTTTCGAGTTAAGAGGAATTACCTTACTAATATTATAAATGCGAAAGTAACTGTCTGTCTGTCTCGATTTCACGTCAAAACTACTGAACCGATTTAAATGAAATTTGGTACACAGGTAGTCTAGACCCTGAGAAAGGACATAGGCTTTAATGCGAAAAAGGGGGTTGAAAGGGTAGATGAAGGGTTCTATGGAAGAATTATCATTTTTAAAACTAGAATCTTGAAATTTATTTTTAGGCTGTTCATTAAATATAAATAAATATGACTAAGTTTGTAAAATTGTTACCCTTAAGGCGGTAAAAAATAGGGGATGAAAGTTTGTATAGGAAATCGTCATTTTTGAAGCTAAAATGATGAAACTTTTCATTTGGCTTTTATTAGGTTAGGTCATTAAATATTTTTTTCTATAGTACGGATGAGATTTTAGTCGTCACGAATTGTTGTCGTTGTTGTTGTTGTTGTTGTTGTCATATAGGCGTCACGTGATAGCGTGATGTCCGTGGTACTGTCCATGTACAGAGTACAGCGAAAGTACTAGGACAACATGAGTTCATAGAAGATTCCGAGCGTGAATTAATAGTAGTATATTTACATAGTACGGATGAGATCTTAGTCGTCACCAATGACAACTCTTTAGGTGTGATATAGGCGTCACGTGATAACGTGATGTCCGTGGTGTTGTCCATGTGCCTATATAGGTTATAATTACCACTTACCATCAGGTGGGACATAATCTTTATTACCAGTATCATATCGTACAGAGAAAGTACCAGGACAACATGAATTCATAGAAGGTTCGGAGCGTGAATTATTATTAGTATATTTACATAGTACGGATGAAATCTTAGTCGTCACGAATGACAACTCTTTAGGTGTGATATAGGCGTCACGTGATAACGTGATGTTCGTGGTACTGTCCATGTACAGAGTACAGCGAAAGTACTAGGATAACATGAGTTCATAGAAGATTCGAAGTGAGAATTAATAGTAGTGTATTTACATAGTACGGATAATCTCATCATCATTAGTTGTCAGGAATGACTCTGTAGGTGTGCTGTAGGCGTCTCATAATATCCTTATATATGTCATGCTGTTCATGTATAAATGCGACGGTTGCCACTTACCATCAGGCAGCATGTATGAATTACAAGCAATCCTTATATAAAGTAGAAAATGTACTGCGATACTACAGTCAAAGTACCAGGATAACATGAACCACTAGATAGTCTGAAGTATAAAATGTTATAGTTCAATTACAGGAGAGTACAGCGTAATGAAATATTATAACTATGGGCGTTACATAACGTGATGACCGTAGTCCTATGTATATACGACGGTTACCACTTACCATCATGTGGGACGTAAGCTTTATTACCATTCCCATTGAAACAAGTGAAGTGTGATACAGCGGTACTGCAGCGAAAGTACCAGGACAACATGAATTCATAGAAGGTTCGGAGCGTGAATTAATAGTAGCATATCTACATAGTACGGATGAGATCTTAGTCGTCACCAATGACACGTCTTTAGGTGTGATATAGGCGTCTCATGATATCCTGATATATTGCAGTGCTGTTCATGTATATAGGCGTCGGTTACCACTTACCATCAGGTGGGCCGTAAGTTAGTTTGCATTTTGTTTAATAAAAAATATTCATCTATATTCCAAAGTGCGTTGTATCGAGGCGGCTATGACGTCACGCGTCACCTGCGCCGGCGCACGCAACATTATAGGAAGTTGTTATCGGTCAATTGTGATGATTACTGATTACTACTGTTTACTACACTGTTAGGTATCATATATTAATACCTGAAGCAAAAACTTTAATTTACAGGCTACTAGCTACTCGTCCCGGCTTCGCACGGGTGTACATGTATCTATACATATAAATAAAATTGGAGTGTCTGTTTGTGATATTGAAATAACCGTTTTTTACTACATGCATATGAATATAAATACGGTACATACACCAAAATAACATTTTTTACAATTTTTGTCTGTCTGTCTGTTTGTTCCGGCTAATCTCTGAAATGGCTGGACCGATTTGACGGGACTTTTATTGGCAGGTAGCTGATGTAATAAGGAGTAACTTAGGCTACTTTTATTTTAGAAAAATAAAGTTTAATTCCACGCAGACAAAGTCGCTGTACCCAGCTAGTATAATATATGAATAAGAGAGTTGGAGTGGAGTGTGTAGAATGGCAGAGTCTCAACCAGTACCTGATCTACGTCGGTCGGTAGGAGCGGCAACGCGGCGTTCGGTGCGACGCGAGCCATCCGCCCCGCCGCCTGCCGACACAACGCGCAAAACTTACACTTCCGTCCACATACCTTTCTCGCGATCTCAGACCGATCCCCGTCCATTTTTTTTATACTACAACGGTGGCAAACAAGCTTACGGCCTAACTGATGATAAATAATTACGGTAGCCTATGGACGCCTGGGATGCTGTCAGTAATCTAATATATAAAACTCTCGTGTCACGGGTTCGTGTTTATACCGATTTTGACGGGACTTTTTTTGGCAGGTAGCCGATGTAATACGGTGTAACTTGGCTACTTTTATTTTAAAAAAATAAAGTTAAATTTAACGCGTGGGCACAACTAGTCTACTACTAAAATAATGTGGTAGATGTATAGCCCAATTTACACTCAGCCCGTGGGCAGGGAAGTGAGCAGCGCGGGAGTGTAAACACGATACTTCCCATGCCATTGGCGCTGCCACTCGCGCTGCCGGCGCTCCCTCGATTGTCGGTCTTTCCTGCACGAGTCAAAGGACTGGCAGCGCGAGTGGCAGCGTGTGTTTACATTCAGCCTTCTCAGCTCAGTTGTCGTCCGGCGTTTAAAGTCCAATTTCCACTCAGTCCGTGGGCAGGGAAGTGAGCAGCGCGAGAGTATAGACACGATACTTCTCATGCCATTGACGCTGCCTGGGCGCTCCCTCGATTGTCGGTTTTTCGTGCGCGAGTTGCAGCGTGTGTTACATTCAGCGCTCCCGCTTAGTTAATTAATTACATTAAGCTGACATGCAGCTGTTGCCGCAACAACCAAATGAATTTATAGATGATAGTAATATATAGCAAGAATAAGTTTATTTGCGGACAACGTTATAATTTTAATTTTCATACTGCTTTCTTGATATATGATAGCGTAGCGGCTTTTGTATTGATTGCCGCATGCATCCTTATGTAAAGTGCGAATACTGTAACTACCATATAGTAATTTTTGTAGCTGTGACGTGGTCGTGTGGAATGAGTAGTCATGCTCACTAAAATATCCAGACATGTGGCGGCGTGGTGGGCCGGGTCAATGGGCTCCCTAAAATATGGTCGAGCGCAGTGATGGCTGGCGAACGAGTGCTGCTTGTAGGGACTGGTCTGCTCTTATCACTACGACTGATTTAATCTTATTGCATGATTATATTTGACCCAAAAAATTAGTGCTTGTTGGTAGTTTGTATTCACACGTTTCGACTTGTAAATGTAAACTTACAAGGATTATTTAAAAGAGCAACACACAAGTTTCTTGCTCGTTCTTCTTGTGATGGGACAGCTTTCCGAACGAGTGGTAGATAAAAAACAAATTGTTATGACTATTCAAAAGTGCTTAAATTAAGTTTATTTGAATAAATGATTTTCTATTCTATTCTATTCTAACCTCGGCGTCCGCCATCTTTGCGAGTCCCCCCGTAAATAAGTACGAGGGCTGAGTGTAAACGACACTCACTCCCGTCGACGCTGACGCGTCAATTTTCCGGCAACACGAGTGGCAGGGGAAGCGGCTGAATGTAAACGTAACATAAAGTATAAAGTAGTGACCTATACTGAGCCGCCTCTGGTCCGGATGATGCGGATGCGGATGCGGATGTCGGACGTCCCTCTTGGCGGGCGCCGGTGGCGGGGACTGCGGTACACACGCCTCCTTGGGGCTCCCCGCGCTGCTACCATCGCTGCAACAAACAAAATTCACATTAGGGGCCGTTCAAGTACTACGTAAACACTATGAGGGTCTATATTGACGACCTCGGTGGTCTAGCGGTCTAGCACACCGCTTTACGGCCGCTGGTCGTGGGTTCGATTCCTCGCAGCACAAACATTTATATTCTTGAGTATGATTATTTGTATCGGTCTGGCTGTTTTCTATGTATAATATGTATGTATTTACGAAAAAAAATTATCTATGTATTTGTATCAGTTATCTAGTACCCATAACACGAGCTTTAGCTAGCTTAACTTGGGTCTAGATGGCGCTGTGTGAATTGTCCTGAGATTATTATTATTATATTTTGCTTATTTTTAATGACATGGGGGGATGGGGTAGTCTAGATGATGATGACGTCATCGGTACTTATTTACTTTTTTACACGACTGGCAACACTCACATTGTCTTTGCTAAAAAACAACACATTAATTGTAAATATATACGTAATCAGGGGGTGGGGGTAAGAGCTTTGCTTTCTTTTGCTAACACCCCTTGTTAGCAAAAGAAAGCAAAGCTCTTACCTTACTTAGCTATGGGGGGTAAATAATTGTAATTCAAATTCAAAATCAGATTCAAATTCAAATTCATATGCAAAAATCATTTATTCATGTAGGACATTTTAGCCGCTTATGAACGTCAAGTTTTTACATTAAAATTTTTTTCCCTACCGTCCAGTTATATCATATAGATTCAATTGAGAAGAACTGGCAAGAAACTCAATTGAATTACTTTTTTTTTAAAGCCAGTTTATTTACAATGATTTATATAGGTGTCTATGTCTAACATTAAATGAAAATCCCGTGCATGAACAACTATTGCCATGCACGCTCGTCATTCAAGTAATCGTTTAGTGAGTAATAGGCCTTGCTCAGTAAATATGATTTAACAGATGTTTTGAATTTATTTAACGGTAATTCCAATATATCCTTTGGTATCTTATTGTAAATTTTTATACCTATTCCCATAAAAGACCTATTGACTTTTTCTAAACGATACTTGGGGACAGCAAGTTTGTCTTTAAATCTAGTATTAATATTATGAATATTGCTGTTTTTTGGAAATAAGTCAAGATTTTTATGAACATATAGGATATTTGAATATAGAAATTGAGAAGCAACGGTGAGAATATTTGCCTCTTTGAATTTCTCTCTTAATGAGTCACGATTCTTCATACAGTAGTAATAATAAATCTGCTTACATAATACTTGAAATGCCCCTTACTCAATGTACAGCCTATGCTGTAAATAATATAAATGACGTAGTGGAGTAACTTGAAACAGTCATGCTCGCTATAAAGTTCAAACTTGTGGCGGCGTGGTGGGCCGGGTCGATGTTCTCCCTCTAATATGGTTGAGTGCAATGATGGCTGGCTCATCCGTCATACTCGTGACTGATTACACTATTTACTTATAACAATATTGCAATAGCATATGCTAGTGGTCACTCTATTCTCCCAAATTTGAATTGAAATGAATCTGTATTATTGTAAACATGTACAACATTTATTTAATAATAATAATAATCTGAGGACAATTCACACAGCGCCATCTAGACCCAAGTTAAGCTAGCTAAAGCTTGTGTTATGGGTCCTAGACAACTGATACAAATACATAGATATTTTTTTTTCGTAAATACATACATATTATACATAGAAAATACCCAGACCGATACAAACAATCATACTCATGAATACAAATGTTTGTGCCGTGCGAGGAATCGAACCCGCGACCATCGGTCGTAAAGCGGTAGACTAGAAGATTATTTGAAAAGAATACGAGCTGAGTTTCTTGTCAGTTCTTCTCATCTCGAAATCATTCCGAACTGACGGTAGATTTGACATGTCATAAGAGTCTGTAATAGACCTACATGAATAAAGATATTTTGGATTTTAAAAATAGGCTATGAATTAGACGCGAGTGAAGCCGCGGGCACAGCTACTAAATTACTACAATAATTGAGGACGTCGTATAAATCTATACATGTAAATAAAATTGGAGTGTCTGTTTGTAATATTGAAATAACCATTTTTTACTACATGCATATGAATATAAACACGGTACATACACCAAAATAACATTTTTTACAAATATTGTCTGTCCGTCAGTTTGTTTCGGCTAATCTCTGAAATGGCTGGAGCGATTTTGACGGGACTTTTGGCAGGTAGCTGATGTAATAAGGAGTAACTTAGGCTACTTTCATTTTAGAAAAATAAGGTTATATTCCACGCGGACGGTCTCGCGGGTACAGTAAGTTCCATAATTTTTATTTAAAGATACCAAGTGAAAATTTTATTTTCTAATACAATTTATAAAAAAAACTATATCCGTTGGCTGGCATGGCTCTGATATCATGGTGAGGTAACCGGAGTCAGTTTCCGGGTCCTTATCACTGGCACGTCGCTCCACTATCTGCCAGACCTACATACACACATATATGCGTGAAGCTTACGTAATAAACATACATGCAAATTGCGGCACTTTCATTTTGTTGCTTTTGTTATACTGCGAATATCTTTTTAGGCATGATAATGTAATGGTGTACCCGCCTGCGCTAACGGTATACGCTGGCGGGGCACCAGTGGAGGATGATAAGATGAGCATGAGGTCAGGCCAGTTAGCTTCACTTTGAATTTATTACGATGGTTTCCAAGAGCAACCGCGAGGAGGTCAACCTGACATGGTACATTGCTAGCAATGGGGTTAACAGTCCACATTACTAACAATTCACTGCCCCCCTACTGCAGATATTGTACCGTACTGGACTTTTCGTGTAACCGTTACCAATTATAGTTAAGCTACTCGCCCTGGCTTCGCACGGGTGTACATGTATTATACAGTAGCCTAGCCTGGAGATCTGTAGTACAGGTTTCGACTTAGTTCAGACTCCAGACTCTCACAAGGAATACCTTGTAAGATTAAATACATACTTTTGTTACTTTGTCAATATTGTAAGTTTCTTTGTGAGCAGTAAATAAACATTATTATTATTATTATATAAACCTTTCTCTTGAATCACTCTATCTACTAAAAACAGGGCTGTTATGGATATAAATCTTCGGATACGGATAGATTTCGGATATAGGAAAGATTATTATACCGGATACGGATGCGAATATGATATTTTTTCGAATTATCCGTTAGTTTCGAATAATTTCGGTTACGGATATTAATTTTTTAAGGAATTTCAAAAGTAAAATATAAATAGCTAATAAAATAGTTACATAACATGTCTCAATTAGGCTCCGCCCCTATCCGATATTATCCGACACTTTTATTTCGGATTCGGTTACGGTTACGGATATTTTTTCATATCGGATATCCGATAGTTTCGGCTGCTTGTGTTATGGGTACTAGACAACTGATATAAATACATGGATACCTTTTTTTTTGTAAATAAATACATATTATACATAGAAAACACCCAGACCGATACAAACAGAAATACTCATGAATACAAATGTTTGTACCGTGCGAGGAATCGAACCCACGACCATCGGATAGTAAAGCGGTATGCTAAACCACTAGACCACCGAGGCTGTCTATGGATGGACTATCCAACACAAAAATAATTTTTCAATACGAACCAGTAGTTCCTGAGATTAGCGCGTTCAAACAAACAAACTACTGTTTTATAGTATTGGTATAAATCAAAGAGTTATAACGCAGGCAAACTGGTGAGGTGATCATGACGTCATCACTCGGAGGCAACAAAGAGGTGACGTCACGCGGCTCTATATAGGGAATTTACATTAGAATATAATTTAAAAACTGTCTGTCTTATTTAACAATATAAACTCACATGCTGGTAGTCTCTAGTGCTGGTTGGTAGTTTGTATTCACACGTTTCGACTTGTAAAATGTGAACTTACAAAGATTATTTAAAAGAGCAACACGCAAGTTTCTTGCTCGTTCTTCTTGTGATGAGACAGCTTTCCGAATGAGCGGTAGATTAAAAAAATGTGATCATTCAATCTATTCAAAAGTGCTTGTAATGAGTTTATTTAAATAAAGATGAAATCTATTTATATTTCTATTAAAAAAAATCTTTATTCATGTAGATCTATTACAGACTTATCTAAAATATCTAATATATTCTCTAAAATAAAAGTAAAGAAAGAAAAACATTTATTGACAACCGTTATTGGTACAAATATATATATAATGCACACATACGCATACATATATACATATATATAAGTAGCCTAAGTTACTCCTTATTACATCAGGTGCCTGCCAATAGAAGTCCCGTCAAAATCGTTCCAGCCATTTCAGAGATTAGCCGGAACAAACTTGTACGGACAAAAATTGTAAAAAATGTTATTTTGGTATATGTACCGTATTTATATTGATGTGTATGTAGTAAAAAACAGTTGTTTCAATATTACAAATAGATATTATATTTGATTCTACCGCTCATTCGGAACGAAGACTTATCACAAGAAGAACGAGCAAGAATGAGCATAAAGTGGACTGTTGGCCGCCACATACCTTCTAGTTGTTATTCATAAAAAATTTAGTACTCTATCTGCGCCTACTGATATACACTTATCTTAAAAACTTCCCACCACATACTTACGTCAGACGACCTACTGCCTCCATTACCGCGCTATTGTATTACCAACCTTGGGTTGGTGTCATAAGAGCGACAGTGCAACGCAGCGGCGACAAGGCCGGGACCTCGGTAAGGTCTTTGTGCATACAGCCTTCCGTAGCACGAGATCGTTACAAAGAACGTTGTTACGAAATACTGTACTGTAGTAGTCTAGGCTATTCGTGCTGAAATATAGTAAAACGAATAATTTCTCAGGATAATTCACACAGCGCCATCTAGTTCCAAGTTAAGCTAGCTAAAGCTTGTGTTATGGGTACTAGATAACTGATACAAATACATAGATAATATTTTTTTGTAAATACATACATATTATACATAGAAAACAGCCAGACCGATACAAACAATCATAATCATGAA